TTTCCACAAGCGCAAGAACTCATTCTTCTCCTCAATTCTTCAAACTGGTATGGATCATCCATCCATCAATCTGGGTATTTCTACTTTGCTTCATGGTAAATCTAGTGTCCTGGGGTTTTATTTTTAACCAATGGATTCTGAAATTTTGCTTCTGAGCTCAGATCTATGGATTACCAGGGGTTCTTTCGTCATTTCACATTGCCCGCAATTTCTTCTTCTCTCTTATGAAGATCAATTTCATTTTCTCTTGGCTTCTGTAGGGTTTGTTGTGCTTAGAAAAATAGAAGCCCAGTTTTTTGTTTTTGAGTGGCATAAATTGTTCCCTTTTTGTCCTTCTATTAGTAGATCTTTTTTTTCTGTGAAAATGCTATCCTAATTGGCAAGGGATTGTCTGTTTGGCTGCTCTGTATTTTGACATGAAGGAGATTTAACTGCATTGTCATGGAGAATTGCTTTAACATTATGTCAAAATGGGGCAGTGAAAATGCTTGCAAATATGAAGAAAAGAATTTAAGAGGTTAATCTCAAAAACATAACCGGGCTCTCATCTAAGAAGTGAAAATAAATACTGAGTATATAAAGAAACACAGTCCAGACTTTTGCTCCTAAACACACTGGCTCTTGTGATACTTTAGTTTTAGTGGCCACTGAGGCAAATAAGTTGCAAGGATTCATATACTACTTTCTTTGTATTGGTTTTTATGATACGTATTTCTAATCGATCAATCAGTTCAGCCTCAATAAGTGCCATCTAAACTGGTAGTTCATCCCTCCTTATGAAGCAGCTTCTTATTGATATTTGTCTACATTGTCCTCAAAGTAACACTATATCTTTGTTCAATTTTTATTTGGTTTGTGTACCTAAACTACATATATGTTTGGAAACAGTTTGTGCTGCAATGCTGACTTGGGTCATGGGGCAACGGTACTTGGCAACCTCAAAAGTAATGCCCGCGGGTGTCATTGCCGGGATCAGGTAACTTACAACTCTACTACCCCCCCGGAAGAGTGAATATTAATAATAATGCATAAGTTGTTCTTCATGGGATCTTCTTCCGAGCGGATTTTTTTTATTTTATTTGCAGTGCACTAATGACCGGGTTTTACCTGTACAAGATCGCCACGGGAGGGAACCATTTCCCAACCAAGGCCGAGTAATGCGTCTGTTGTTCCTGCTCTAACTTCATTCATACTCTTGTTTCATCACACCCCAAACTTTGACACTTTTCCTTTTGTGCTCTACATAGAAAGTGTCTGAAGCTTGGAATGTGTCCCTCTTTCCTTTTATGTTCTCTACAAGAATATATGTACTCAGCATTTAGTATCTTTCCAAGGTTGTATACTTTTCAGGGCCGGTCCAAATTTTTCGAAGGTCATGTGCAAAACTAAGTAAGATTAGGCCTCTACAGTTTTTTTTGGCCTCTAAAGTTTATAATACACTATTTACGAGTTTATTGCACCAACGCCCCTTGTGGTTTGATGAATGTACACCGTTACTCCTCATGGTTTCAAAATTTACGTCGTTGCTCTCATGGTTCTGGTATTGCTACGCCAGTGTTCCTCTAGACAAAAATTTTCTTCAAATATTAGGTGATTAACTCTGATGTCCTCTATGGTTTTGGAAATGGCGCCAATGCCCCCTCTCCTTTTTCTTTATAGTTTTTCTTTTTTTTCTTTTTTCATATAGAGAAAAAAATGTTTGTGTGTGAAATAATAAAAAATTGTTTTTTCAAGCTTACATTTTTAAAAAAGTTTTAAAAAATAATAAAATGTTTGTGTTTGAAATAAATAGTGAAATAAAAAATTTAGCATATACTTCATTTGTCAAATTAAATATTTTTGTTTTGTCTAAAAAAGTCCTATCTTTTTGAATATGTTGAGACCAAAAAATACTGAGTAACGCCTTTTTAATATATTTAATTATATATTAATAACAGTTTTGGGACCAATGCGCAAAAGATTTCCTTCATGACTTAATTTTTCTTATTCTATAAAACTATTTTTTCGTATACTTTTCTTTTTCTTTATTTTCTTTGCTATTCTTTTTTCTTTTATTTTAATTTTGATTAAAGTAAAAGAAATGGCATAAAATAAATGAATAGAAAATAAAAAATGAGCTTTAGTGAAAAAAGAGAATATTTTATAGATTTTCGTATTATAAAAATGAACCAATAAAGACCTCTTTTGGAAAAAATAAATATGTTTAATTTGAGACAAATAAAGTGTACGTTAATTCTTGTTATTTAAACATTATAAAATATTATAAAAAATAATTTTAAAAAAGAAATTAAAAATATTTACTCTTCTTAGGGTACGAAATCTTATATGTGGTATTTTAGGTATTGTATTAATTTATCAAGATCTTACAATCTTGGTGGTGTGCCTTAGGATGAGATAATCTATGGGTTTGAGGTTTGTGAGATTCAATTCTTGATTGTAAATAGCTCATTCAATTCTTCATTGTAAATGGTGTGTCAAATACTCATAACTTTAATAGATAATGAGATCTCGAATGAGTCCTTCTGATACCTAATTAGCCATAGCCCATAGGTTATAATAAACCAAGATAAATTAATTGTGTTCATTCTTCTTTATTTACTTTCAACACTTTAAGTTATTCCATTCTTTTATTTCTTTAAAATTTTACAAGATCCCAAATTAAACTAAATTGGGGGCTCAATTGAGGGGATAGGGGATGGGCTTGGTTCGAGCCAAGTTGAAAGTTCACCCAAAGAATTTAGAAAAGTAGGAACTATCAAATTTTTGAACAAAACTCTATGAAAGCCTCAATTTCATCGATGTTATAATATGACACCCGAATTGGAGGCCATATTAACCTAGCCCGCCGTAACTACTGCAATTCTATTTACCCCTCAAAATTATGAAACCATGTCTCACCGCCTTAGAGTTAAAGTAATATTCCTAAAAAAAAGTAACATTTCCTTAATAATATGTTTGATTAATGGAATTTAGAAGAAAAAGAAATAAAATGATTTTCTTACATTTTTCTCACCAGAATATTAAGAAGGGAAATTTACGTAAATAACATTAAAACACAATGATTTTCCCTAAATGACATCACGTATATTTTTTCCCAATATAACACTTTTAGTCATTATCTATTAGTTATTATTCAAGTAAATGTTCGCCATCACTAGACATTATGGACATTATTAAATGTTATTTAAGGAATAAAATAATTTAAGTGTTATTTAAGAAAATAACTTAAGTTTTAGTGACCACGGAAGCCACTGCCCCTACGGAGCTCCGTTCATAAAATTGATGATTCCTACCTCCGGTAAACCCCCCGCCAAGTCCCGACCCAAAATAATCACCCCACCTACGTCAATTGCACCTCGTAAGTATAAAGTCAAAAGTTTTGACTTTAAAGTCAATTATACTTACGAGGTGCAATTGATGTAGGTGGGGTGATTAGTTTGGGTCGGGACTTGGCAGGGGGGTTTACCGGGGGTTAGGGGGTAGGAATCATCAATTTTATGAACGGAGCTCCGTAGGGGACAGTGGCTTCCGTGACCACTGGAATCCAGTGGCCATGGAACCGGGCTCTATTTCTATAAGGATTATATTTTCTCTCTTTTTAGTAAATTTCTATAAGAATTATACTTTCTCTCTTTTTAGTAAATTTTATCATCTCATTTTGTTTTTGTTTCTAACCAAACAAGAAGAATTATTTTATCTAAATAAATCGGGAATCATTTTGCGTAAATAAATCGAGAATCATAGAAGCACGCCATCATGCAAACACGGCCCACTATACCAAATTACGGATAGCCTTTTCGAGGCCAACTGCGTTTCTCTTTTCTAGCGATTCATATAACCCCACGATTGTGCCTTCCAAACCACACTTTTTATATGAATGATTTTATGATCTCCCTCGTCTATAGCCACTACTATTATCTCTCTTCTTATATCATCAATTTGGCTTCCAATTGTTTCTTTTGAACAAAACAGTTCTCGCCCAGTTTCTTGTATCAAGAATGTCCATCTTCTTACCTCGACATAGCTTTGGGCTCTTGAACATTCGCCCGAGTCGCATCAAGTCCGACCGGTTCCCGTTCACTTTGTCCACCCGCAGCTCGACCGCCACAACACCAAACCTCTCAACCGACAACGCGGTCCGACTTGATAGTGCTAAAACGTTGAAGGATGACCAGAGCTTGAGATCAACATGGTCTCACCGTGCATGGGTGGCATGTGGGTGCACCACCGTGCTGATTTCTCTAGCCGAAGCTGTTTCCGGTGGAGCCAGTTCACATGTCTGGGTCGAGCCGGTTTTGGCCGGATATATCGGTTACGTGATGGCAGACCTGGGCTCTGGGGCCTACCACTGGGCAATAGACAACTACGGCTCAACAGAAACTCCGATATTCGGAAACCAGATAGAAGCCTTTCAGGGGCACCATAAATGGCCACGGACAATCACGAGGCGCGAGTTTGCCAACAACCTGCAAGCCCTGTCAAGGGCAGTGACCTTCACTGTCCTACCCATGGACATCATGCTCTATAACGACCACCCGATTCTCCATGTCTTTGTTGGGGTTGGTTCGGGTTGTGTTATGTTTAGCCAGCAGTTCCACGCATGGGCTCACGGAACAAAGAGTGAGCTCCCACCCTTAGTGGTGGCTCTCCAGGATGCCGGAATCCTCATTTCCCGGTCGCAGCATGGGGCCCACCACAGGCCGCCGTATAACAGAAATTACTGCATTGTTAGTGGAGTCTGGAATGAACTTTTGGATGAGTGGTATGTGTTTGAGGCATTAGAACTGGTTTTGTTCTTCAAGCTTGGAGTTAAACCGCGGTCCTGGAGCGAGCCTAATTCCGAATGGACACAACAAGAGTAGGGAATCCTTAGATATATCACAAGCAGTTTTTATTATATTTAATCATGTGCCTTAAAAGCAGTTGGTACACATTGCAAAAATTATGAAACAAGAACTGTAATTCTTTCATAGAACAATAAATATTCCAGCATTACACATTTGAAACAGCTGAATTTATTTTTAAATTGCTGCCCCTTCACTGGATGGAAGAAAGAAGGGGGGTCAGCACAGTTTTTGCAATCTTTAAATTATGGGATGGGTTTTGTGTGTTGAAGAAACACTCACATATCAAAAAGACTTTATTTCTGGAACTGAATCAGCTCCTGAATAGGCAGACATTGACGATACACAGGGAAACCAATATCGGCGTCTGCCATCGCGGTGCCCGTCATCAATCATAGCTAGACCTTCCTGCATGTATATCAAACATGCCTGATTTTGATAACAATTTATTGTTTTATTATTATTATTATTATTATTATTATTATTATTATTATTATTATTACCAAAAGGAAAAATTCACACTCTTACTCTCAGAATTATGTGATTTTAGGTAATTACTCTCTAATTTAATAAATGACATTGTTGCTCCAAGAATTTCTATATATTTATATCGGTACTATATCGTCCCCGGACTTGCTAGCTTCGCTTACATCATGAGAATGTGGAATTAAAAGAGCTGAGTATAACCAGGCGGTCAAATGTTTAGACAAAGTCTTTAGTTGTCAATTGAACTCTTTTAATTCCACATACTCATCGCACAAGAGAAATTAGCTAGTCCAGTGACTGGTAGGGTACTGATATAAATATGTGAAATATATGCACAATTCTGAGAGTAATTGTGTGAATTTTTCCCAACAAAAATAGCCTTTAGACACCCATCAGAGTAACAGAGGCAATAACGAACCTCTAACAGTGTTTCAAGAGCATCAGTAGCGCGACCAGATGACCAGTTCAAGTGTCTTTGTACCTCATCAACTGTCACAAAGCCTTGAGTCTGCAGATTTGAAAATGGAATATAAAAATGTGCGTAGGTTTGAGTTGTGTAATTGAATGATAGTTCAGCATATATACACTATATATGTATAAGTTGCTAAAATAAATCCATCAACTACCATACCTGAGCCAGCTCTAAAATTTCATTATGATCCTTGTTTAATTCAGTTGGGACCGAGCGAACAAGCTTTCTTTTTCCAACTGAAACCACCTCGAAACCATTACCTAGTACCTGGAAAATGATTTTCTGATGAAACACAATAATAGTGCCAAACACATTAAGAACCAGTACTAATAGTCATGAGTCAACATAAATAAATTCTGTGGAATTTGAGGGCCTGTCTG